GCCTTCTGCTATCATTCATGTCACACATGATGTGGAGATTCCAGGTCAGAAAAGGCCCCGAGTATTCCATGCTTGACTGGTGCCGACTGGGTGTATATCATGTGTGACCTGGCTTATTGTGTCATCAGGCCTGTACAGAGGGATGGATGCTCATGATTTCACTCACTGGTTTTCTTGGCCCAGCAAGTCCGAGTAAAATTTCTTTTAGTCTAGTAAGATCAGTTTATCATAGTCCAAATGCTAAGACTACTGAAAATAATGCCAGTTTCGGCTAGTAGACCTCACAGGCTGTATATGACTGACTGAAGAAAAACCACAAAACCACTCACTCCTGACTCCGCCATCCAATCACCCATCACCACTCTCTCACTCACAGCAGGGAAGTCAGGGATGTGATATTATTAGAAGATAGCACTGTAGATATATCTGGCACAGAGTCTTTTGAATTAGTGGTAGCATGATCCGTGGTGACTTTTGAAAGCTTTTGAAAGCTAGCAGATAGATGCACTCGGCACAGTCCTTCTTGGAACCATGGCATCAGATGTGGCATAATGGTTTCCTGGACACACTGAACTCTTGGCACATGCAGAATTAAAACAACACCACATATGAATATCAACTCTAAACCAACTGCCTCCATGGTCTAGTGCTTGAGCATCCGCCTGGAGAGTGGACGGGCAGAGGTTCGATCTCCGGCTGCGTCATACTAAAAGACGTCAAAAGATTGTACTTGTTGTTACCCTGTCTGGCGCTCAGTAATAAGGTGCTAAAACATGGACTGGTCGACCCCTTAGTCAGTATAATGTGTCTTAGTGGGGTATTCATGTTAAACTGAGGCATGATAGCTCAGTGGGCTAGTACTATAAAACTGGCATTAGTCCTGACTAGTAGACACACAGTAGGTTCCTGACCATAGGAGAAGGGAAGAAACAGTACTACCATGGTAGGGGTATACGAAGGGGGACGAAGGGAGTCACTGTGTACGAGGGAGGGATTGGGGGGATGCTGTACGCTTAGTCGTTAAACACTGGCATTGATTGTTGTAGATTGTGGGAAATTGCCGGAAATAGCGATGTGTGCAGGTAATTGTTGACAGTGACATTGGGTCGTCAGCAAGCAGTTAGTGGGAGTAACCTGTAGTTATCTGTGGTGATCGGTGAGTACAAGTGTCATGTTTACAGTTGACCCGGGTAATAGGCTAACAGAGCTCCTGTTCATACAGACCTATTGGAGAGACTAGAGGCCTTTAAATGCATTTTCAAAGAGCACTTTAGGCTCAATTCAGAAGATATAGAACAGTGAACATCTTCTTAAGTTTGCTTAGCTCATGCACAAGCACAATCAGGAATCAGTTTTTCAACAACTGTGACCAGTGGTCGTTACTCGCTGAGAGAGTGAGTGTGGTTTACACCGGTTATAGTTTAAGTGATAATCCAGCAATATCAAAGGGACACATTGTACCAATGTGAGGAATCAAACCCAGGTCTTCAGCATGACAAGTGAACACTTTAACCACTAGGCTACCCTACTGCCCCTAGTTGCTCATCAATTCTGTTGACTAGACACAATTATTGTACAAGCCTTTGTTCCATGCATTTTTCTATGTATAAAAACACTCATTCAAGAAGCACACAAATACAAAATTCTGAAGCATTTTCCAAATATGCCTATCCTTGGTGCCAGTTTAATACATACAGTACTAAGCTACTGTGTCTCAGCTCAAACATGCAGTGTTTTATTGGATGTTGTGTACAGAATGACAATCACATGAAGAATAAACATATACAGGTTTATTTGTTTACTTTGTTATTTAATGCTGCACTCAGCAATATTCCAGCTATATGACAATGGCCTGTCATAAAGTGTCTAATTATGAATGATCAAGGCCGTCTGGGTAAAATGACAAACACCCAACCCGTCTCCAACAATAAGCATTGGTTGCTGGGGACCAATTCGAACCCAGTTTCAATGGAGGTTATTGTATATTGTAAATAGGTATTCAGAAGCATGACCAAGCTAAACAAAACAAACTTTAAGGGCAAACAAAGGCTCCTTGGGTGCTTTATAATATTGCGACCCTTAAAGATCCGACACTCAGCAATAATCCAGCTATATGACGACGGTCTGTAAATAATCTGGACTAGACAATCCAGTGATTGATATTGTGAGCAACAATCCACTCCGTCAGGGTACAAGGACACTCTCGCTATCAACCAAGTCTGACCAATGAAAGACCCATTTGATAACCTCTCACAACCAGCATGGGTTGCTGGGAACCAGTTCCAACCCGATATCCCTACAAAGGTATTACATAATATCTGTGATAGCTCATTCATTATTTATATCTTTCTAAGAATACATGTTCAAGGAACTCAAGCAGTATAACATGCAGAGCTATATATCTGCCATGTATACGGTAAGAATGAAAATATACTTAAACAATGAAAAAGTAATCAGAAACAAATCACAGCTTCATGCCTTAGCCATGTTATATCTTTGAAACTAACCGAGAGGTTTGCTAGATGCCATCTCTTCATTTCCAAATGCATTATGAAGACAGTAATCTTAAGTGTTTCAGATATTGCTGGATAACATTTCACAGATACTTGTGGAATTCAGTACAAATTAATAAACACATTTCTTGTTTTAAAGTCAGCCATATTCCAACTATATCATGACAAGATGTAAATAATCAAGTCTGTTCCAGACAAACCAGTGAGTGATATTATGAGCAGCACCCATGCCATTGGGTATGATGTCACACAAATAACCAAGTCACTGAGTCTGGACACCCGATTCATGACAGACGCCTCTAACATCGAGAACGAGTGCTGGGGACGCATTCTAACCCCGGCACCCATGGGGAGGCAAGGTCATGAGAGTACACATATTTCGTATTGTGGTAATGGAGACTTGTTCTTTGATGAAGGGGCAGTTATTAAATCTAATACGGTATCTGGCTTTGATCCTTTTCTCATCAATACACATCCAACCTCCACCGATGTCCTCTCAGTCCCAAATATCATCATATCAGCCACAATTCAAACATTTGACACCACTTAGGGGAAGGTTATAAAGTTATAAATGATATTTAAGTGTTTAGACCTGCGATTACATGGAACACAGTTCACCGGAAGGTGGGGCAGGGAAATAGCTGAATTTTAATGAGAAGCAGGATATGGTGGTTCTGTTTATCAACAATGAACTCAAGTACAGTTCAACGTCAAGATACTACTGGATGGTCACTACATCTTTACTATGCTCAACATGTCGTCACTGTCACTGTAGGTCTGTTCGTTTGGAAGCATTGTTCCACCTTACATAGTCAAGTTTGGACAAGACCATCCAGTGACTCATATCATGAGCAAGATTCCATGCCATCAGGGTATGATGGTACACAGCCATCATTTGCTTGGGACAATTTCTAACCCTATTTTGTCCCTGTAAATATCCCTTGTCCACTTTAGTGAAAATAAACACTGCTGAAAATGATGCCAAAGGACTGGTTTTGGCGATAGCACACACAAGGCAAATCCTAAATATATCTACTTGGCACTTGAAATATTTGTTTGTCCTGTCATGTATTTTACTTATCCACTAAAATCATAAACATTTATGAAAACACTTATACATGAAAATCCACGATTTAGTCTCTGAAACGCCATTTGACACTGGCATTTAGTACTGAAGGCAATTTGGTTATCCAACTGACGATTTCTACATGCCACAGGCATCAGGCAATCCAAATAACACTAAGCTTTCGACACAGACTCCCGAATAGACAAGTTCCTAATTTAGCTTTAGTCACTGTTTTTCTCAGACACATTCTGAATTTAGTGTTATCTTACTATGGATTCCTAAAACAAATAACTTCAACCACTAAGACCACAGTGCGCCCAAAGTAATTTACAGTTATGCCATGTCTTTCCCAATGGCCTCTCTGTGAGTGAGTGTCAGTCAGGCATTGGTGTTCTTTGGGCAATACGCCAACATATCAAGTGAGTGAGTGAGTACTGTTTTATGCCACCTTAATATTTCAGCAATATCATTCAATGCACTCGTTTGGAAATAGAACCCGGGCCTTCAGTGTGACAAGCAAACACTACCCCCATCCCCCTACCCAATATGGAGGACACCAGTGGGTTTACAGAGTGTTTCCACATTAAGAATCAAACCCAGCTCCTTAGCATTCTAAATGAATGCTTTATCCATGGCTACCCTGCCCATTCACCCCTGAGGTAGAACTTCTTCTTCTTTAAACACAATGCAGACTTTTCATTTTGGGTATACTGACAGCACAGTAATATCTTGTGCTCCCAAGAAACATCTGGAGCCCAGGCACTTGATGGGAACTGGCTTTAGAACATATGTAAGTATTGTGAGCCACTTGATTCACACATGTACTTGCTACAACTGACAGCCCTGTATGTGTTAGCTTCCTAATGACTCTACAGCTCTTTAACAGTGTGAAGCAAGCACTTCTTTGTAAAAGGTCTCATCTCTTCCACCTATCCTAGGCCTGATGGACAATTACAGCATGCAAGCATCTTCCTAGAACAATACAGGGCGACCTCAAGTGGACCAATGAAACATGGACAGCGTGTACAGGGAAAACATTTAGCAGTCAACTTGGGCAACAACATACCCTGTGTTAGAGGTAGTCATGTAGTGGCCACTTCAAAACACAGGGCACTACACAATGCTTACTTAATAAATTATTAGTACTGCAAGACACATTTAATCAAGATGTTGTGCTACTGAAAGGTGCTGATTGTGAAATATTGAGGTCATGTGTGACATCAGGTCTTCATGACTTATAGTTGAACTTGATGACTACCTTTAAAGGTATCCTTCAGGTGAGAAGCAATTTCTTGTTTAAAAAATATCCAATGTTTTATCACTTTTCGGGCAAGTGATGTAAAAAGAGAATCAATTTTGCTGCATTGAATAAAGAAAATAGTAACATAGTTAGAAAATATTTGATGGACATGAAGTCTTACCTTTCTTATCACAGTGTTCCCCTTCATACTCTGTCCCAAAACAGTCACATCGCGTGCTGGTGTACAAGTTGACACAGGTTCCACCATTCAGACACTGGTTATCTCCCTTGCACAGGTCACTGCATCCCTCGGTGGCCCCGTTAGACTCATCCACGGGGATGGCCATAAGAATCCCATCCTCACGCGTGTACTGTATCTCCGATAAACAGCCAACAAAGTAGAAGAACTCACTGTCAGATTGTTCCTCAGTTCCTGGAATTAAGGGCAAGAAACATTACCATTTCCATGAAGAATAGGTTCTAAGTCACTCATGCTTTAAGATTTTGAAATTTGGATTGGGTGGTTACATTGTGTGACCTGTTGTTGCTTGAGATTGTACCCTAATGGCGTGGAATGTTGTTCTTTTTGTCAATCACTGGTTTGCTGATTCAATTATTTCCAGGCCACCAATATATATTTGATGAACTGCAGATCGCTTTGTCAAACATTCACTCACTCCCATAAGGAAAGATTTACACTCGTCAGAAGCAGAATGCGAAAAACATCCTCTTGAAAAGTAAACAATCTTGGGGGTTAATATTTGTCACATGGTTTTACAACTCAAGTGAATGCTTTTGACACAACAGTACTTAAAGATCTTCTTACTTACTCCAGAACTTGTCATCATGAGCTCCGCAGTTTGGATACAAAGACATACACCTACAAGTCCGCGAGTCTGATTACCCAATAGATTTAGTCTGAGAGTCTGACTATCCCATGAGTCGCTTCTAAAAACAAGCATGGTTTGCTGATGGTCAAGATTTGAAATATTTTTAAAAAACAACAACAGAAAATATGTGTTGGTACCCCACAACAAAACTATACATACACCAAATTTCATAACATTTGAAAGAAACTGGCCATTAGTTTCAGCTTACAGTATGGTCAAAGCGCAAGGGTCAAAATTTAAAATATCACAAAAAAGGGGACATATATATGTTGAGCCCAAATACTATAACTAAAAATGAACCAAATTTCATTCCAAAGTAGACAGTTTATGGATAACAACTTTAATACTGTAAAAAGCGATGTTTCGGTATAGATCATTATACTGTTGTCAAGCAAGACAAAATTTCATTCCATTTATAAAAAGTAATGACTGACTCATGGCCATACAGTTGCATGCAGTATTACATTGAGGTAAGTGAATGCGAAAAGCTTACTGCACCCAACCGGACGCATTGTTGTATTTTAATTGTGTCATGCACAGAAATGTTGCGGGAATACCGCAAGGCTGCAGTCATGGAACAACACTGTGTATGGTTATATATGGTTGTAGTGGTGCTGATATTGAAAATAGGATTTGAACCTCTTGAACAAATAGGGTTGGCATCTTTGGTTGGAACAAGCATGTGCAGTTTCAGCATTATTGGTCCAGTGTTTCTTTAAGGATAAATAACAGATGACAGATGCTGGACATAAACAAAAGGTGTGAGAAGCTCTCATATATCATAAACCACATTCAATGTCCTCAACAAAGCTTCTTGCTACATATCAGGGGAAAAGAATCACAAACAAAGTGTCTTCAGCCAAGAAACTACTTCCCACTCTCGCCATACAACCAACCCAGTTTCTACACCTCACTGAATCCCCAAAATCAAGAGCAGTACTTCAAACACAATCCAAATAAACACAAAACATCAGCTTTTATCTTTCAAAGTCACAACAGTCACAGAAAATCACCCCCAGCCACAGACCTCAAGAAGAAAAGGATGTTCATTTCATGGTTGATGCAACTGACAAGTTTCTTAACATGTACATTAATGCTTGTTCAACTTTGTGAGACAGGTTCTGGCATGCACATAACATCTTGTCTTGGAACAGTTTTCTCGTTTGTTGTTGTTGAATGGTCCTACGTTTATTTACTGAAGTCACAGTAACAAAGTAGAAGACAATATAGTTTCAGAGTTCTCTGAATCCAGTGAAAGTGTTTGTTTGTTGTGTAACGGCACGCTCAGCAATATTCGGGCTATATGACAGGGGCCTGTAAATAATTGAGCCTGGACCAGACAATCCAGTGACTGATATTGCAAGCAACGATCCATATCATTGGGGTACGATGACACGTCATCAGCTCATCACAGAGTCTGACCACCCAATCCATTATCACCTCTCACGACAAGCATAGGTTGAATGGGGAAAATTCTAACAGAGAATCCCCACAGGGATACATTATTTCTCATTGTTAACATTGTATCTCTTAAAAGTTTCTCAATTCATGAAAGGAGATCATTATTGAATTTAAACTGAAAATATGGTAGGAATCACGCTGCAGTATGCATTGTCACACCTTTTTTTAGGTAATGATGCCACAGTCAACAATATTCCATCTAAATCATGGCCAACTGTATATGAATGGGTCTCAGTCAGACACACCGGTGGTCGACGGCATGATCAAAATGCCACAACTGTGTATGATACAGAGTTAGCTGAATCACAGAATAAACTGTGCTGAGTACAAGCTGAAATCCAATGACCACATATGCAGCCATATTTCTGTGTTCTCAGTTTAAGTAGCCATTGATCCCAAGAGCAGCTGAAAGTTAGGTGTTGAATTATTGTGTAAATGAGCACAAAACTAGTTTTGATGAGCCAGGAATGCTGTATAGTTAAGCCACTCTGCCTATAACGCGATCCCCATGTAAAAGCCTTTCTGGTCTACTGGACATTGTTTTACATGCAGAGATGAAGATTACTGTGAGTATTTTCTCTTAAACTAAGCCAGAAACAGCAATCAGCTGAACACATGTTTTCTCCTAATCTACTGGTGATCCGATTAAAAAATACCCACTAATATAATTTTAAAGAATTTTGATGCGATCCAAAGAATTGTTTCTGAAACTATTATCTTATCAGGAATAATATATTTCAATATCGTTCTATTTAGTTGCAGCTTTACAATATATATTTCAAATAATAATAACCAAAAGTGTAGCACATTAGTACAGCTGATTGCTAGCGCCAGATACTTTTTACATATGGAACGATTGACCAGTCATAGTCGAGGCTCACACGCTCGCAATCGTGAAAACTCTATGGTGACATATAATAGTCAAACTACAACGAATATGACTTTTAATGAGTCAATGTATGGCATTTATGATATATGCATCTACTCACTGTCAACTAAATTTCATTTCAAGGCTTCAATAGCGGTAATCTGAAGAGGAAGCTGTAAATGACAGTGTGTTGTGCAACCTAGCGACCACTTCACACACGATTTTGCCAAAATGAATTTAAAAAATATTTTTGAATAAAATTAATAAAATAGATTACAAACATACGTCCAGATATACAAGGAACACTTTTTATAACCAGACAGTGTAATTACATGATAAATTTTTGTATTTCAGTACGGATTTGTTGACATTGTATTTCCAGTGTTATGTGCCTTTGTGTTTGGGGGGGAAAAACATCAAAACTCTTCTACCCTGTGTATAGGGCAACCCACTTGAAACCACCCTAACTCTAGGTACAAAAAATAATTGCCTTATACACGGCAAAGTATGGTATTACATAAACACGTCAAACATATCAAGTTTGGAGTAAAAAGTACAGGTAATTGTGTGAGTATAAAGGAAGACCTTATTCTGTTTCATCATTTTATCATTTTGGACTCCATAGTTTAAACACAGTACACTAGTCATAACAGTTATGCTACCTCCATATGTAATCTCTGAATGTAACTCCGACCACTTCAGCAAGTCTTTGGCCCCGCCTCTCTGGAATGCTTCAAGGATTTTGGCTTGTTTCTTGTCATCCAAAGTCACAGTTATCTCCCCTGTCCGTGTATCCAAATATATTTCAAGCTGGTGCCATTTGTCATTGTTGAGAGCTGGAAAGAAGAGAGAATGATTAGCATGTTTTTGAAATGAAAACATCCATGTCAATAATACAACTGTGAATGTGGTCTTATGCTACTTTCAGCAATATTCCGTCCATTTCACGGTGGGCATACTTTAAACGAGCTTGAAAACTGTATATATGTGTGGAAAGACACACACAACTGGTGTGATGAATCAAAGCTTGAATCACTAGGCTACCCTGCTGCTATTAATAATCTGGTGAGTGAGTGAGATATTTTGTCTCTCTTGCATAAATCAGCCATTTTATGGGGAGGGGCACCTGCAATGGCCTTCACATACTGCACCTAGGTAAGGAACTGAAACCAGGTCTGGAGTGTTAGTGTTTGTTTGTTTGTTTGTTGTTTAACGCCGCACTCAGCAATATTCCATCTATATGATGAATGTCTGTAAATAATCGAGCCTGGATCACACAATCCAGTGCTTGACATCATAAGCATAGATCTACACAATTTGGATACAATGACATGCATCAATGAAGTCAGCAAGCCTGACTACCGGATCCCATTTGTCGACTCTTACGACAAGCATAGTCACCTTTTATGGCAAGCATGGGTTATTGAAGACCTATTCAAACCCAGATTTTCACAGGTAAGATCTAGAGTGACAAGCCAACGATTTAACCACAAGGCTACAAAGCTGCTATTAATACTCGAGTGAGTGAGTGAGTGAGTGAGTTTTAATGCTCCTTTAAGCAATGGTGGACATGACAATGGACTTCACATAGTGCGCCCAGGGGAGGAACTAAACTAAGGTCTGGAGTGACAAGCCAACGCTTTAACCACAAGGCTACCTTGCCACCAAAACACATTTTGGTGATCAAGTATAGTTCACGAATGAAGAAATGTCTTAAGCTTTATGGAAACAATGCAAAAACATATTGCTTGGTCAGCCAATCAAACGCCATGGAATCACTAACAAAATATGTATCTAAAAATAAACACTGGTCCACATTTCCACAATGTGGCCCACTAAGTGTTGCAACAGTATGACATACGTCAGTATCTCTATCAAGTGTTGAGTAGTGTATACAGTTCTGTATCCACCCATTCATCTGACAATTATCTCTTCATCATGTGTACTTACATGTCTATCATTTCACAGTTTAGTTAGCACTGGAAGTTGGATATTGAATCCTATAGACAATCTCAAATTCCATAACCGCACTCACTAAAGACATTCCTTCGCAGCAAATCAAACTGTGATCCCCATGACTGTCCCAGTACCAAGCTAACCCCACCAATCACCCCCTAGGGAGATATATCACCACACTGTGTCAGCAGCAGTAATGTGGTGCTGGTATCAAAATTGCCTCCATTGTGAATCTCTACTGGGCACGGCTTGTAGACTGATAGAGTACTAACACGATTCTAAGTCCCGTAACATATTGAAGTCTGTCCATAAGCAGTTCATTTAGACTCTTTCAGCTATTTCTTAAAGAATGTTCGAAACGACATTGAAATCTGAATTGTGTTACAATGATTAAAACGAAGTCTTACCCAGTGAGTGAGTATTTAGTTTACACAGCTTTAAGAAATATTCCAGCAATATCAAGGACGGGTGGGGGAGAAGACACCAAAAGGGCTTGGACCAGTGTACCCATGTTGTGAATCAAACCCAGGCCTTCCATGGGACAAGCATATGCTTTAACCACGAGGCTACACATCACCACACATCAGCATTAAAGGATCACTGGTATTGAGTTATGTCCCTTCCCGAACAGATTTCTAAGAAATAACACTGAACACACTTCGATTTTGCTGATTAAATTAATCATGAATTATTAATTTCATTTTCAATTAATCATAAAAAAATCCATGAAAAATATCAGGCAACACACATTCCACACAATACGACCCGCTTGATTAGATCGAAGTACCAGTTTTGATCTGTGTTGCAATAATAGACATGACTTGCCTGTGTTATTATAGCTTTGATCTTTGTAGTATAGTCTACATGATCTTGGCTATGTTTTAGTATCAACAAGAGTAAAACATGGGAACAACAACAGCAGCATGTTGAAAGTGAAGCCACCAGCCCTGTCTCAATATTGACACTGTAGTTGTACTAAAACAAACGCTTCAGTGATGCAGACATGGACAAAACTGTTACCTGGCTGAGATAATTAATGTCTGGTGAATCCTCACCTATTTTTTTCCCCCATATGTTTTCTCTCTGATCATTGTAAACAATGCCCATCCTTAAATCTTCATAACAGCAGAAGTAAATACACCACAGAAACTATAGGGAAAGTATCTCAGAAAGAACATTTCAGTGAACTAACTGTGAAATGATGGCCGATTCCTTACTGGAGTTGTAGTGAATCACAGACCAGAAGAATACCTTGCCAGTGTTATGACAAGGCGGAGAGAAAACACTGATTTCCAGTCCTTACTGTCAAAACCCACTCTGGTGCTGACAGTGTATGTGTTTATTTGTTTTCAGTGCATCCCTCAGCACTTTCGAATTCCAAAGTGGCAAATATGGCTAGCATTTCATACCAACATGATGATAGCAAGCTTATGATTGAACCGAACATTTTTTTTAAAGGACACTGAATATTTTTTGGGATATCTTAATGAGATTGTGTGATCAGTAATTACTTAAAAAGATATTCCCCCCAAATATTCATGATCACTAACTTTTTTTAATTGTCACTTAGTCCCAGAAATAAAGTTTTCTTATTAAAAAGATATATATCTACAAAATTAAAAAGAAAAATCCAAATGGAGTCCAGAAGAAACCTTAATTTCCTCGAGCTGAGGCAAATCATCCTATTCTCTTGGGTCTGGGAGACAGAGACACCCCCACTTTTTTGTTCAGTATTTTAGGGATGTATGTATATCCAAAGTGTGTCAAGAGTTTAACACTGGGGTTACACATCATTGGTCATATCCAACTTGTTCATGGATCATCTCAGACTAGTTGCTAAGTAACATAACAAGACATGGGGAGAAGACAGCTACTCCCTCTGGATTTACAGAAGTCTCAAACATTCAGACTAATGGCTGTGTCCAACCCTCTACAGTATTGACAGGGGTCTGGATTTGAACTGTCAAGGTTAACAAGTGTCTGGATCAACAGTCCACAGTGGATCAAGAGTGTCTGGATTAACAGTCCACAGTGGATCAAGAGTGTCTGGATTAACTGTCAAGGTTGACAAGTGTCTGGATAAACAGTCCACAGTGTCAAGAATGTCTGGATTACCTGTTGGGATTAGCAAGGGTGTTATACAACACGCAAGTACAAGAAACTAAACTGTTCCCCAGTTGTTCTGTGTTAAAGAAAGTCCTGGTATGCGCCCCACATGCATCATCGATAAGTATGTTTGGTTTACTTCATTATCACTTCATCCAGTCCAACACTACAAACTGATATTTACCAGAGCTTTCAAGTTTTGCTCACATCAAAAAAAGTGTGAACAACACAGTTTCTGTTGTTGACACCTTCTGACCTGCCACAATTCATGACAACAACAAGGCCTGTGGTTATTGTATAGCTGAGCCACACATGTAGACAAACACCAAGTCTCCCAAAATACATAACTTTGATAGAAACAAGCAACTACATGGAAATTGAAAAGAGTGAGTGAGTGAGTTGGGTTTAACGCCGCTTTTAACAGTATACCAGCTATATCACGGCGTGTCAGCTTAATGTGGAAGGAAAGCCCGAAGTGATGCAGGTCTCAGACGTTTACCACTTCGGTGAAACCCACGAGCACAGGTATGGTGCTGACAAACCTAGAAACATAATTGGGTCGAACTGGGAATCAAATCCACAATCATAGGTTTCTGGCATGCCCAAGGGACGCAACTCTGCACAGTGAATCACGGCGCCTTAGACGACTGGGCTACCAGTGCCCCCCAAAACTGAAAAAAAAGCCCAGGGAGATGGGAGATTCAGAACCTGAGGAAAATCGAGACTTGCTTCATTTATACCTATAGCATAGAAACAAGCAACTAAATACAAATTGGAAAGGGGCCCAGAAAGATGGGAAAAATCTAGACTTGCTTCATTCAGGGCTGCAGCATTAATATAAGGGCGGACAGAAGGGAAAATAATATGGTTCAGGGACTGTGAGACTACTACATGCCCCAGAATAAATAGCCAAGGTAACAGATCAGTGCGCATAGTAACTACATTCTCAGCTCCCTAGGAAATATAGATCTCAAGATGTACGTTAGGCGCCAGAAGGCTGGATTCTGCCAGACAGCCAATCACTCAAGGTGAACTGAGGCAAATTTCAAACAAATTCTAACAAACGTTCGTGTATGTAGATTCTGAAGCATACACAGAGTGTAAAAATTCATATCTCAAAGATTTTGACATATCATATCCTATTCCACAAGCTAGGGCACATGATGTTCCATTCAGTTGTTTTATCCACAGCCAGATAGTGTAATTCAGTACTCCTATGTAATCAAGATAGGGTAATTCCATCATAGAAAACAGAAATTCCATCATAATCACCTACACATTTAATGTCAAGTCAATTTCCACATAAGTGTATACAACATAAACACATTCTATCCAAAAATAAATATCCAAACAAAGAGACAAGAAGCTGTTTTATGTCACAATCAGCAAAACTTCATCTGTAAATAATGAAGCCTGGGCTGAGGAACCCACTGGCTGCTGATAAAGTAAGCAAGGCCCAACAAACCCAGGGCACCATGACACACAATCAATCAGGTTGCATTTACTTAAAGCACCCATGAAGTGAATGAGCATATTTTTAGGCCTCTTTTGCAATATTCCCGCAGTATCATGACAGGGCACACAAATGGCTTGACAAATTGTACATACATGGGGAACTGAACCCGGGCCCCCGCTGTGATGAGTGAACACTTCAACCAATAGGCTACCCCACTGTCCTACAGTCATGTCATAAACAACATGGGTGTTAGCTTTATGTCACAAAAACACAGGATACAGGCTTTACTGGAACATGTGTCTGTCTTGCGAGATGTGC